TAAATAGGAGAGTTGATTTAATTTTTTAAAAAGTCAAATTAGGGATAGGAAGATTCACCAAGGCAGCTCTCCTGCTTGCATTTCTCAAATCACAGCCCTCATGTCCAAGAGAAAGGTCATTAAAATGACCTTTTAAAGACATTTTATTTGGCATGGGCTTTGGTAGGCGGCAGTCCGCAAAACAATGCTAAATAAAACGTGTCAGACGTTAGGATGCCTTAAATCTCTCTTTTCTCCCCCTTTTCTTCTGATGGACTAACGTGGCAAAGCCCTAAAGTTGTGATACAGCATGATGAAAATGTTTGATGTTCCACGGGGGGAAAAAGTTCATTTCTCACTGAAATTCCTTGGGTATGTCATATTGATTTCGCTCCATGTTTCCTCCAGTCACTGAGCAGTTAGTTCCTCATCTCGTCAGTTACAGCTCAGATCCGGTCAATGCAGTACTTTAATTCCTTGTTTCCATGGAGGACAGTTATAGTTCTTGGTAAAGTTACTGTTTTGGACTGCCACTTCCAGAATCCTCCAGCCACTCAATCCTCCAGTTCTAGGAGTTGCGTCCAGGAAACATTTTTTTCCAAGCTCTAGAAGGAGAACATAAAAATATCCAACAATGTACAGTATAAAAGTTCCTCATGGCTGTTTTTGCCCTGCCATGAGTATACAAGTTGGACCGCTGCCCTGTGGGTCTGCGTGCTCCTGACAGGGAGCACAACCTGCCTTTCTGGAGTGGCTGTAGGCATAATGGTGTGCATTCTTTCTTACTTGGAAGTTAGATCCTGTGTAGGAAATGGCACTGAAGAAAATGGCTGGCAGAAGCCGTGTGAACATAACTGGGAATGTCTCTGCTTGTACAGAAGCACATTCCTCTGAGTACCAGGGTGGGGTCTCCCTACTCTCCCTCTAGGCCTTTTACTCATTCATAAACTGGTTTTTCTAGTCAGGTTTCATCTCCACTCTTGATCGCCTGCGGCTTAGGGAGGAGCCATCCAGATTCTGTTTTTTAACAGTCTGCAGTCCTTCTTCTGTCACTCCATCTCAGCAGACCACGGCAGGCAGAGGCAGCTGAAACCTACCCACCCCTTTCTTCCCGGGCTTTCAAAGCACCAAGAGAGGGGAGCTTCCAAGATGTTCAAAGGGGTGGGCAAAGGCTCGCCGAGCAGGAGCTCCCCAAGCAGAGGGCTCCCAATCAAGCAAACCAAGTAAGTTGTCTTGCAGTCCCTCTTTCTGCAGAACTAGAGGGAGAAGATGCGAGACCTTCATCTCTCAGCACAGAGCTATAAGCATAAAGGGAGGATTTGAACCAGGGTTGCCTGGTGGAAGAAGTTGAGAAGAGCTAATAAGTGGCTCATGGACTTACAGTCTTAAGGCTGTAACGCTCTGCAGAGGGACTCGACTCCGCTGTATGTCGTTTTGAATAGACACGTAGGAGGACTGCGTTTATAAGGTGCTTGATGAGATGCAGAAGGAATCTATGTGAGCAGTCTTCTGTGTAAAAAGTGTCAGATTATTTAGCATGCCAGAGTACTTTGGATATCTGTACACAGATTGAAAGACAATAAGTCCATAGATGTTGTGACCAACTGAATGTATGACTTGGGCGTGTATGATTCAGGAATGTGCCTAAAAGCTCAATTCTGATTCTTTTCATAGCACAAATGTCCCAGAGTCCTTTTTCACAATGAATCTCTCATGGCACTTCCCTCCCTGACATGAAGAGAACATTTTTGAAGCTTTTCCATCTGCATCCGTTGGGATTGCTAACAGGAAGTACATCTTAACGGGACATTCTTGTGATTGTCTCATATAGTGGCAGAATTTAGTGACTTGAGGTATCTTCTGTTAATCCATTGTTAAATACAGAACACACATAGACACCCGATCTTTTTTTACAAGTCTCTAGTCCATTTTGTTAAGAGGTGTTTGAAGAAAATGTATGGAGTCAGAAGGAGTTTAGGTTTGTCAGAGAGCATGAACTTGGCATACTTTTCTCCACATAGTCCATATCAGAGTTTGCACAGCCTGCATTAGAAAAAGTATCAGAGAAATGAAGCCTATCGATGCCAATAGCCCCACCTCTTTTTTTTCTGAATTATTTGGGACATAGGCTAGATGCATTGTGACTGCAGGATTTTTCCCCCCAATGCAGAGAGTCAGATACACGCACATGCCATGGCAGAGCACATGAGGCAGCCAGCTCAGTATCCTACCACTTTCAATTAAGGTGCTCCCTCAGTTCACATTTTCTTTGGAGAAGGCTATGATTCATCCTGCCTGTAGAGCCCATGGGAGGAAATGTTCATGCTAGCGAAACAATTGGCTAGAAAGGAGGAAAGGCAAACAAGTCAACAGAGAGACAACTGGACACTTCACAGGGATGGGCATAGGGCAGCCCAGGGGGACGTATGATCTCCCAGCATGCCAGGGTATCAGGTCTCCATGCCCCGTACAGTGGACCCTTGACTTACAGACGGCTTGACTTACAGACTTTTTGAGTTACAGACTTCTCTGGCCACAAAATTAGGTTTGACTTGCAGACTGAGATTTGACTTACAGACCAGAAAAAAACCAAAATGGAACAAAAACGGCCTGTTACGGGATTAATCGGTTTTCAATGCACTGTAGGTCAGTGGAGACTTGACTTACAGACTTTTTGACTTGAGAACCGCCTTCCAATACGGATTAAGTTCTCAAGTCAAGACCCCACTGTGTCTTAATTTTAAGACAAAGCTCAACATTTTCCTTTCTTCCCTCTAGGGTGTGAGAGGCCATTTTGCCATGTTGCAGGGGGGGAAAAAACCCTGTCCTCCCAATTCCTGTCCCCAATTTTGTATTTTCCAAATGGACACTAGAGGGCAAGAAGGAGCCTGTTCAGTTAAAAGGCATTTTAAAATATCTGGTGAGGGGTAGGTGCGGCACTGGGTGGGTGAGGACCACTCAGATCCAGGGCTGAGCAGGTGTGTAGGCCTTGGGCCAGTGGACCCTGCCCATCCCAGGTATAGCAGTTTGAGTGCTGGCTCAGGATATACGCTAGCTCAGTGGTTTAGGGCTCTGGATGCAGAGCCTGAGGTTGGGATGGGCAGGGCCCACTGGCCCAAGGCCTAGACACCCTCCTTTGATTCCCCTACTGTGCCTCCTTGACAGGGGCTGGACTTGATGATCCAGTGGGTCCCTTCCAGCTTTGCAGTTCTGAGATGATAATGATGAATCCAAGTTCAAGTCCCCACTCAGGTAATTAATTCACCAAGTGGCTTTAAGCCAGCCTCTCTCTCTCAGTCTAACCTACCAGGCAAAGTGTTGGGAAGATAAAGGGAGGGGAAAGAGAGCCATGAATACCACCTTGAATGAGCAGAGAGGTGCCATAATTCAGGAAAAGAAAATAATCTATACAGTCTGACCATCTCTATTAATCAAGGATAATCTATGTTTTCTGATTCAAAGTTCAGGTCAATTGCTCTCCCAATTTACTCACTGTTTTTAATGTAGAAGCTTGGTTAAAATGTTGTTACAATACATTGTAGAGTTATTCAGATCTTCATTTGTCTTCCTAGAGGGAGTCAAAAGAACAGCCTCCCCTTTCCTCAGCCACACAAGGCGCCCCATCCAACTACATTGGGTACATCTTCTTTCACCCTTCTGTAGCATTAGCCACTGACTCATCTCGGCCGAGGAAGTAGCTAAGAGAAGAGTCCTGTGTTAAATCTCCTGTCTGCTAGCCTCCATCCTGGTGAAGATTACTATGGAACATGGAGGGCCTGTTTCTGGGTGGGTGGGCATGGATCTGTTAGCACAGCTAGCCCTACAAAAGGGATTAAGAATAATCTTATAGCTTCATTGTGCGCTTACGTGAGGATCATATATTGACAATTAATAATTCAAATGACTAAATAATTCAAATACTGTAACATGTTTTCCTAGAAAGACCTCCATGCTAGAGGTGTTGTGGGGGGGAGATGAATGTCTAGAGTTCTCCCATGAGTAGCCTCAGGAGGGAAGATCTATCTCTTGTTGACTGAGATGAAAAAGGAGCTGCCTTATATGCTTCAACTACTATTTGATGTGTGCAAGAAGCTGCCTTTACACTACTTGTCAGCCTAGCCCCATACTGTCTCTGAATGGGAGATTTCCACTCCACCATAGGTGTTATCTTCTACCAGACTACCTGTAAACAAGACAAGATGGGGACTAAACCTGATATCTTCCCGCGTGCAGACTTGCACATGACCACTATAGTATGGCCAGAACCTGATATCTTCCTGCGTGCACATGACTTGCACATGACCACTATAGTATGGCCATTCTTCAAGGAAAGCTATGGCAGTTTGAATATGCCATGAAGTTATTTCAAAGAGGTTGTCATTAGGGTAGCAGCCTCTGTAACTTATTATAATTCTGTCTCATTCTACATTAGTTAGAGTTTAATTATAGTCAATATGTTCCATGGTGTTGCAATGATCAAAACACAGGCCATTCTTGGCCATCCAGATGTTATTGGACTGCCATTCTCCTCATCCTCTCCCAGTGGCTCTGGCAAGAAAGGGTGATGGGAGTTTTAGTCTAATAACATCTGGATGACCTCTCCCTCTTCCTTAAGAAAAAGCAGTGCTCCTAATATGTGAATCCTGTTATGTAGGCTACAGATTTCAGAAAATTCATACCAACCTGATAGACATTGCTGATAACTGCAACTGGTTTTGCTGTCAAACCAATTAATCCATTCTAGAACTGCTGCTCATTATTTTAGTTTATTAACAGCTTAATTTTAGCTGCTAGACTAACTAGATTAGTTAAATAAAAAAAAGAGTCAGTATTTCAAAGACAAGAGAAATGGACAATTTGGATTTTGGACTTTGATAGGAGGTGAAGAATTAAACCAGATGATACTGTTAGCGTGTTTTTAAAAGCGAGGCTTCGTTAACAAGTTTTTCTGACCTCTTAGACCTTTTGAATTTCCTTGCTTTGTCTTGTGATTATTCATTGGAAGGTAAACGTGGGTTTGTTTGGCAAGTCTGATTGGCCAGGCATGAAGCTCTGAGAACACTGCTTTGCTGAAAGACCAGCCTGCTATCAGCTTCTAATTTGATTTGAGTGTCTGGCGTAGTTTAATCCTTCTGGTTCAAAAAGTCAAGACAGTCTTTCCACTTCTTGTTGTCTAGCAGAGGCTTTAGACAATTCAGTTATCTGTTTTATCATTATCAGATCTTACAATTATCACTTCCACATTCAGGTCATAGTGTGTTCATGGCTTCCAAAGAAGATCTTGCATAGAAAGGTTTTGGGCTTTATCACATATAGAGACTATGCAGTTTTCCTTAAAAAAATAACATTTTTTTCAACACTATGAACAAGTATTATCACATCTGAAGAAAAAAAGTGATTGCACGAATTGGTGGCATCAGTTTGTAATACCTGAAGCTGCTCAAAGATGGAGATGGGAATAAAAACAGGTCCGGATTCTTGAAAAAATAGTGCAGCCATGTCCTGGCATGGGCTGGGCTGATGCTGAGTGATGGTAGTGATGGTTGACTTTATACCACAGATGACAAACCCTCAGTCTATGTCTTGAATCCATTTTGGAAGCGATTCACACATTTGATTCATTATCAAACAGATTAGAGATGTTACTCACGCTCTTTCTAGCTTAGCACAGTTGGAATTCTTGCCTCAGAGAAGAGGTGAGTATTATGAGCCTCCAACACGCTTAGAAACACCACATTTGGACAAACAAGTTCTGAGGTTGCCCATCCTCACTGAGGCATTTTGAGAGGTGCAGCTCAAGAAATGTAACTTTCCAAAGTGCTGGCAGCTGTAGCATATGACAGCCTATAAAGTTCACAACATTTACATTGTGTGACTCTGCTGATTCCTATATCCATTGTTGCTCTACACATTTCGAGAAGCAGGAAACCCACCATGAAAGGACTAGGTCTTCTATCTGGTAAATAAACAACTTTATTGCTAAAGGAAGAGAACAGGAAGTTAAATTAAATTATTTGTGCTATCTTTGTTACATAAAAGAGAACTTCGGGTAGTGTGGGCGGCATATAAGTTAAATAAATAAATAAATAAGATTTTGAATCCACAGTTGAACTATTTTCCTTTCCAACACATAAAATGCAGCATGGGTGATATGAGAGACAAATTTCTGAGGCAAACAGGAAATTTAATAATTAATATGACACTGGATGAAATGAGCCCTTCT